CCTCCTTTCGAAAAACCTTTACATATGACGTCACTCTAGCCCATTTCAAACTTCCCATTTCCTCAAGAAAACCAGGATGCAGACAAAGAAAGCATGTCACCATATTCGTTCGTAATCATGGCTGCGAAATTCGAAAGTACTTGAACAAAAATAACAAAATATGAATTTGTGTACATTTTATTCACAATTTCGAGCACCTGTTCTTCTAAAATCAGAATTTTATATTTATATATATATATATATATATATATATATATATATATATATATATATATATATATATATATATATATATATATTAAGAAATGGATAAATTGTCAGAAGTTCTGTTTTTTTTTTATAAAGCGCATGCTATTATAATTTTAATAATTTAACATTGTTATTTTATAGATACAAATATTTAAGCAAATACTCTGTTTATGATAAATAAATAAATAACATTTACCGGCCTGAATGTCCGAGAAATTTTCTCAAGAAAACCAGGATGCAGACAAAACTCAAATGTCGTAAAAGAACGAATATTTTCAAAAATATGAAAATTTCTCGGACATTCACCTTTCCGGTAAATGTTATTTATATACTATATTTATATATAAATATATATATTTTATTAAAAATTTTTATGTTTAACGTTGTTCTAGATACAAATTTAAGCAAATGCTCTGTTTATGATAAACAGTATTAAATAACATAAAATGTAGAAAACTCAAATGTTAATAAATATATATATATATATATATATATATATATATATATATATATGAAGAAATATAAATTAAGATGTGCTATATTTATAGGATAAAGTGCTCAATATAAGAGATATAGCGTGCAATCGTCAGACAACCTGACGCCTGACGATTGCATCTAGCATGAAACAGACTGTCGCCTCTAAGTGTTGATATATATATATATATATATATATTTATATATATATATATATATATATATATATATATATATTATATATATATATATATATATATATATATATATATATTATATATATATATATATGTATTTGAACTAGACTGATGAACTAGAACCGATATCTCGGTTCTAATGAAATAAATTATCATCATGCCCTCTTAAATTCTTCCTTTTAATAATTAAATATATATATATATATATATATATATCGTATATATATTTCTCATACGGGCTCCTTTTTGAAAGAATAAATAAAAATAGACTAAGGTCTTTTCCTCTATCTCTTTATCCCATATTCTAGTTCAGTAAGTTAAAAATGTTAAAGAGAATGATAAAAGTATTGTTGGTAACTTTATACTCGTTACGCAAACGTATACACAAATAAACAACTGAACGGGAAACAGGGGAACGTCTTATAAGCTTAAAGAATGGACCATATGCTTATTTGCTGTGTTTTTATTTTATAATAAGTTGTTAATATGTGAATATTACATGCATTATCATTGAATACAATTAAGTAAAACATCACTTTCATTAAAATGTTTATTTTAAATGCAACCGTAGTTTTTGACTACCGTGAATGGAGATATAGTTTGATCAACGGCGTAGCCAGGGTCAGCAGTTTATTTTATATCTCGTGTATGATGTGATCCCTTAATATTAGCTTCAAAATTAGGTCTTCAAAAGTATTATATACGGTTTATGTACGCAAAATTTAAATGTATCCCTACGATAATCTTTTTTACGGATAATCAACAAATATTTATGGAACTATAACTTTATTAAGAGAAAGCTTTATTAAACGAATTACAACCACTTTCTATAATTACTCGTGCCGGCTAGCTATTCATAATATTCTTGAGTGAATACGGCATTTTAAATTCCTTCATCGTTGTTAAGTACTCAAATTCTCACAGCATTATAATGTGCGAAAAGATTCTCATAGGGAAGGAGTTGTTTATGAGGCAGAAGTCGCAGACGACATCAGACAGAACAAAGTCTATGTGGGATGCACGGAATGTACATTTAAGCAAAGATGGTACAAGCATAAACCTCCATTTAAACGGGAAAGACAGAGTTACTGTATCAAACTCTTTAGCCATATGTGGGAGTTAAAAAAAAACCCATAAAACATTAGAAGCCTTAACGAGAAATGGTCAACTCTTGCAACATTGGTAGAAGTATTTGCAAATTATGCCCAGAGACAAAACTGGCCATAGCGACATACACGGACCGAGAAAAATTATTAAACGAAAGGCCAGACGTAATGTCTAAATGCAGGAATGTGAATAAATAAATTTTATAAAAAAAATTAATCGAACATTAGATAATTTTTTCTTGACATACACCACCCCTTCTGTTGATCTTCCTGTAATGATGTTAGGTTTATAAGTGATGAAATTAATCGTTAGAAAAAGCATAATTTGCCAATACCACCTGAAGAAAACTTATGGTTGAAACCTGGGCCGTGAAACCGGTAAATACTCATATTTTTTTCTACATATCTTCTGCTCCACACGTTCAATTTTTTTCGAAATAATGTACGGAACACTTTTTAAATATATCCATTCGT